TCATTTGTTTTCATTTCCTCAAATGTCGAATGGAAGAATTGTTGATCATTGATTTGAGTATAATTTTCTTTTACTTGAATATTCAAAATTGTTTGGTCATCTCTTTCTTCTTTAATTTGTAGTAATGGTTGATCAGAGATTTCTTCTTCTTCTACAGTGCAGGTCACTTAGTCACCACACAAAAAATGGATTAGCTTTAAATCCTATCAGAGCTTCTTCTTATGATTAAAATACGTAAATTGATAGTTTATTAACTACTCTATAATATTACGTATTGTTTTGACTGAAAATATTCTGGTTATTGAGTTGATAGCTTTTAAAGATTACGAATTTTTTATAAGTTTATATATTAGTTTGGAAATTTTTGGTCATGGGACCTGAGTACTTTAATACTATATATAGTAAATAATCTACTTTGAAATGTCAGGAATCATGATCCACGTGATCTATGTACGGGATCAAAGTCACGAGAGAAGATTCATATGATCAGGTGAGTCTTTCCGCAGTAATCGCATTAGTTTTGTCTTTTAAAATACGTGTTCTAACTAACTTTATTCTTCTTTTAGTTAGTCACTAATACACACCGTAGACCAAAACTGTCAATACCTATGAATCGCTCAATCAATAATTTATGAATATCATTTTTTTTTAGTCAAATCGTGAATGTTTGATACAATCACTTTCATTACTAACAATTAGTGAGACGTTATGAGTTTTGGATGAACAGGTAGTAGTTCTAGATCGTAAGAAAATGTTTAGAATAGCGCGTGTGTAATTTGTGGGTGGAAGTAATGTTGGAATGTGTGAGGAGAAAGTGGGAATAATATAGGGAACAAATCACTTGAAAAAGTGATTTGTCTTTAATAGAAAAAATAGAGACTTCTTACTGTAACATAATAAATAGTAAATTATTTAAATAAATCATCATTATTTTGTAGTGATTATTTGCCATAAATAAATATCATTATTTTATTAATAAGAAAAAGTCTGAGAAAGAAATTCATGCTAACGTTAACATAATCCACAGAGGTTGTGTTGAAGAGAACTAAAAGAGAGTAAATATTACACCTTCTCTTAGGTGAGAACTAGCGGTCACGTATATTTGGAATCCCATAATGACATCCAGGTAGAACTCACGAGAACTTCAATACCAAAGTGATCCACTGGATAACAATAAAAAAAATTTAATTATCTAAATTCGTACATGATTACAAAAGTATTAAAAAATATAAAATTGACTTAATTTTCAGATGTTGACGTATTAATTATTAAATATATATAATATTACCACCTTCAAAACGTAAATTACAAGCTCAACAAGCAATAGCCAAGCATTGGAAGCCCAACAATTCATCTAGTTTCGATCCAATTTCTTTAGAGTTATATAGTGATGATAACAATCCAGAAGATAATATTGGTTGGATTAATAATTTTCTTGAACAGAATGCTGAAGTTAATTTATTCAAGTTGCTCCAAATGAATACTCAGAACTTAGAAGCAAATACCTCTAATCATCCATAAAGATATATAGGCAACTCAGAATGAAATATACGACGGAAAAAAGCCAAGCTTCGGGAAGCTACAAAGGGAACCATGTTAATTACAGATATGTTTAATCTTCAAACTGACAAGTGAAATGATAACGAGCAGAATGATGACGAGTGAAATGATGATGAATGGGATGATAATATTGAAGGTGAAATGAAACCCAACTGGCTTGAGATACAAGTGTCACTAGCAAATACCTTAAATGAAAAAAACTTAGAAAAAGGTACAAAGGTACGAGTTAAAGCTGTTCAGCAATATGTTCGGCATCTTATTAATGGCCAGCATCCAATTGAAGCAAGCAAAATTGTACAGCAAGGCCTAGGATGATGACCTTGGTCTGCAAGACTCATCCAATCTTGGACAACTCAATGGGTACACTGTGAAGATATTCCTATATCAAAGCGTGGCAAGCATCCAAAGATCCAAAAACTCCTCAATGATGAAGATGTGACTTTATAAATCCTAAGTTATATTCGAACACTGCCAAAAAATGAATATCTTACAACAAGTAAACTTCATCATTATATTAATGTGATTGTATTACCTTCTCTTGGCCACGAAACTGAAACTAAAGTGAGTGAAAGTACTGTAAAAAGATTTCTGCATGATCACTCATGGTCTTGGAAGCAATATCAGAAAGGTATCTATATTGATGGACATGAGCGCTCTGATGTTATTACTTACCGGAAAAAATTCCTTGAAGAATTAGAGAGTTTGGAGCAGTTGATACCAATATTTAAAGGTGATAATCTTGAAATTCGGAAGGATCCAGAGCTCATTCATGGAGAAAAACTTCACATATTGGTAACCCACGATGAGTCAGTCTTTCATACATATGATGCTCCCAAGTTTCAATGGATTGAAGATGGAAAGCAATCACTTCGAAAAAAAGGGCAGGGCAAAGGATATCATATAAGCTATTTCTTAATGGAAACAATTGGACAATTACAATTGACACATGAAGAACAAGAACAATATCCACATTTACTGAAAACTACTAGAGAAGATCTTATTCCTGGTACTAACAATGATGGATGGTGGAATATGGAGAAGTTAGTCAAACAGGTCAAAGAGAAGCTTATTCCCTTATTCGAAGCTACTCATCCTAATTGTATAATGATGGTTTGTTTTGATAATGCAACAAGTCATGGTGGATATTCCGAAGATGCCTTACGAGCAAATAAGATGAATTTGCATCCAGGTGGAAGTTATAAAATTAGAGATACTGTATTCAATGATGGACAGCCCCAAGAAATAACTCTTTCAGATGGCAGACCAAAAGGAATCAAAATGGTCTTGGAGGAACGTAAACTGTGGAGAAAGAGTCTTTTGCTCGATTGTAAAGAATGCAAGGATAATAATAATGATGAAAATTGTATAAATTGTTGTGCACGGCAAATCATGAGTCAACAGCCAGATTTTCTGGTCCAGAAACCATGAATTCAGGAAATAGTTGAAGCTGCTGGACACAAGGTATTATATTACTCAAAGTATCATTGCGAATTAAATTACATAGAAATGTATTGGAGAGCATGTAAAAGATATATACGGGAAAGATGTGATTATACCTGGAAAGGTCTTTTAGAAAGAATTCCAGAAGCTTTAAATAGCGTTGATGTCATCACTATTCGCAAGTTTGCAAGAAAATCACAGCGATATATGAGTGCCTACAGAATTGGTTTGACTGGAAAGGCAGCAAAGTATGCTGTTAAAAAATACCGCTCTCATCGTCATGTTCCAGTTTCAGTATTGGATGATATTGAAGTATTGACTTGTGAAGACAGTGTGAATATAGTGATAATAGAGGAGCAACGGGGAGAAGAAATTAGTTTGTAAAGATAATAAAATAGAAATTTTTATTAAATTCACAAATCATTTTAACTATATGTAAATAATAATAATCTTGTGTTCCAATAAAAAATTAGTGCCTATCAATACCTGATTTTGTATTGATATACAACTGAAAATTTGGCTGGTGGCGCAGTAATTGTGGTGACTAAGTGACCTGTACTGTATTTCATATTTAAATTCATCGCTTAGATCAAAGTTTGAATTGAATCTTCCAGATGAGCCAAATCCTTGTTGACCTCTTTCTGAATTTCCTAATTCTTTTCGAGTATTAACAATTTTCAAATTTGAGATCTTTATTAATGGTAGAAATATGGCTTGAGCAATCTTTTCATTTGGTTGAATAATATATGTTTGATCAGAATTATTGTAAAGTATTATCCCAATATTTCCAGTGTATCCAGCATCAATTGTTTCTTCTTTTATTTCAATATCTTGTTTTGCTAAAGATGATCTTGATACAAGCTGACAATAAGTGTTTTCAGATATTTCTATTGTGATATGACTGTTAATGAAAGCTATTTTTCCTGGTTTCACTTTTAATGATTTATCTTCTGGAAATCTTAGATCAAATTTAGCATCAGTATTATATGCTTTTTCAGATTCTTTGCCTTTTTGTTTGTAAAGATAAACTTTAATTTCAATACCATCTTTTTGAGTGAATAAAATTTCTTCATTTTGTTCCTCTATTATATTTCTTTGCTTAAGACCAGATGCTGGTATTTCTTTCTTTTGATTGTTGATTTCAAAGGTAAGAATTTTTCGTTTCCAATTTACAATTGCTTGATGATTATGAGCCCAAATATTTCCTAATAAGAGATCATAATCTCCTTTTTCAGTTATTAATGCATTAATATTTAGATTTTGATTTTCTAAAGTTATTGGTAGGTCTATAACTTCTCCAAGTGATTGTTCTTTATTTTCATTAATTCCAATTAAATTGATGTTGCTTGGCTTTTGAATCTTCCAATTAATTTTGTTTAAACATACCTTGGATATGATATTACTAACAGCTCCACTATCAATTATAATTGTAATATCTTTATTTCCTATTTTTCCATTATAGTGCAAAGCATCAACAGGTATTTTATGATTATTTTCCTATTCATTATTAATCAATAATTGTTCTAAAATTTGTTTGTTTGAAGAGTTTTTATTTGCTGATGTACGTTCACCTTTTGGAAGTGCATTTAGAAGTTTAAAGGCTGTTCGGTATTTAGAAAGGTCTTTTGTCAATTGTTATTTTGATTATTGTTTCAATTATTATTGCCTTGTTGATTATTATTATTATCTCTATTTGAATATCGATTGTTGTTATAATTATTATTGCGCTGATTATAATTATTATCTTTC